AAAAAAAAAAAAAAAAAAAATCTATTTATTTTCCCTAGAGTATTTTGAAACAACCTAGACATTAGCATGCATCTCTAACGGATAAGGATTGCTTTATCTTAAACATAATCACTTGCCTTTATCATATCTAATATTTATAATCATTCTTTAGTATCATTGAATATCAAATCCACATTCATTTTCCCCTTATGGTCTCAAAAGTGTCTTTTTTCCAATCAGTTTGTTTGAATCAGGGTCAATCAACGTCCTGACTTCAGCAGGATGGAAAGCCCCTGTGTGTAGCTCAGGCACTAGGGCCTCTCACATGTCTTCCCCTCAACGACAACCACGTGGCATCTCAGCTGAACAGGGCCACAAGACCAGAAGTGAGGAGCCTTCATCTTCAGGGCTTTCTGGCCTCTGGAGAATGAAGTCTCAGTGAGAACCGCAGGCAGCCAAGCCCCTGTGGTGTTGGAGTACTGACTCTGCAGTCCCAGTCCTAGAGCCACCGTCCAGAGCTTCCCAGTCCTCCCAGGATTTAGGTCACTGAGCCACAGTAGATCTGCAATGAAAGTGGGTTCCTGCTCTCTCTGGTACTGCCTCTACTTTTCACGATTTGATCTTTCTAGTTAAAGGCCAAAGACAAGCTGCATGGGGTGATAGAAAGAGCCAAAAGAGAGGCAGCAGGCTGAGCACTCTGTCTGTCCCTGTCTGACCATGTGGCCTTGAGCAAGTCTCTGACCAATCAGTTTCTTTACTTCCAAAGTGAGAGGGAGGGACTTAACAATCCCTAAGACCCTCTAGCTCTGACATTTTATGACTCTAAGCTCAAAAGCCACCAAATGACTTTGTTTCTGCCACTGTGCTAGATGTTGGAAGCACACAGAGGTCTCTCTTCCTAGATGATAAATTGTTTATGGGAGGGGCTGTATCAGATTTGTCATCACCAGGTTCTAGCATGGCACAAAGCCCATTCTAGGCACTCAATAAATGTTGCTGAATGGGGTACCCAATCTAACAACTAAATCTTGAACATCTACAATGAGCCAGACACCACGCTAGGCTGGGGATCACAAGGATCTCCCTGGATCTGTGTGTCAGTGTACTTTAAAAAAGAAATAAAGAATTTAAAAAAGAAAAAAAAAAAAAGATCTCCCTGGAGAGTCTAACACTGAAATAGGGAGAATGAAAGTTTGATAATTATAAGAGAGGCCAGGTGTGGTGGCTCACACCTGTAATCCAAGCACTTTGGAGGCCAAGGCGGGCAGATCACCTGAGGTTGGGAGTTCAAGACCAGCCTGACCAACATGGTAAAACCCTGTCTTTAAAAAAAAAAAAAAAAAAAGAGAGATAATTATAAGAGAAGTAGCTATGGGTCTTAACAACTCAGACCTAAGGTAAAGAAACTGGACTGGTGGCCCCCAGCTGTGGGTTTCCTGCTCCTCAAGCTTGACCCCGTCCGCTATGCTTCATTCCCAATCCCCCCACAAGCTTCAACAGCAACGCCGTAAAGAGTGGTCCTAGGACAAAGAAAAGTCAGAAGGATGTCTGCCAGTTCGCAAAAAGGAGTACCCCCCAACTAGTATCCAGAACCCTTTCAAGGGTCAGCCTAGGGAAGCCCACAGAGACGATGCAGATAGCTAAATGTTCCCCGTGTAAACTCAATGACTCTGCATCCTCCTGAAATCCACCTAGGACAGCCACCTAGGACGCAGAGAACAACTGCATAGCTTCACCTCAAGATGGGCTAAGGCCAGGTGTGATAGCTCACGCCTGTAATCCCAGCGCTCTGGGAAGCTGAGGCAGGAAGACTGCTTGAGCCCAGCAGTTTGAGACCAGCCCGGGCAACACAGGAGACCTCATCTCTAAAAATGATAAAAATAAGAAGAAGATGAGCCAAAACTACGGAGCAGGAGAGGGTCCCCAGTGAGGTGGATTTCCTCTAGGTAAAGGCTGGGAGCCTTCAGAACGGGGACTGGGCCATTGCTGCTATCCAGCCCAGCTGTGCGGGGAGGGTGAAATGACCGTTCAAAGTCTCTTTGGGTGGGAACAAGGATTTCTTGAATTCACAAAGCTGGCAAGGTTTTGAATCACAGCCCATAACTGAGTTCTTCACTGCCAAGTCCCCATCTGAGAGAAAACAGCCTCATGCGCTACCTAAAAAACCAGATAAACACACTGCCTCAAGAAAAGACTTCCAGGAAGCGTCCCAGCAAAACAAAACCAAATCCCTTTCCAAACAGTAACCAAGTTAACAGCCTCCTTGTGCGCATCTTGGGGGCCTCCACGGAACTTGCTTGGCCTGGTGGTCCACTCCCTATGTGGGGACAGGCGGGCCCTGAAGGAGATGTCATTAAAGTGTAATTTTAGAAGTGAAGGTATCTTAGGGATCTTCTAGTCTAGCCCCTCCCTCAATTCATAGACAACTTCCTTCCTCTGAGCCTCTCCAGCGACCCTTAGAGAAGGCAGGAAATTCACCACAGTAAGCGAAGACATGATGTCTTTATGGCCAGGATTTTGCAATTCTAGCTAATTACAGCCAACACTGGCTCACTGCTGAGCTGTGATTTGGAGTCTTAAAGCTTCTGTGTGGCTCAGCACATGTGGTGGGAAAAAAAAAAAATGAAAGAACTTTGCAACAGATACCGGGGGAGCACTTGCTGGCACATGTGTGCAGCAGGAGTCCCGGGCAGGATGCGGCTTAAAATCAGACACACATGGCCCCGCCAGAGCCTGCGGCTGCCAATTAAGGCTCAGAAGCTTTGAGAGGAAGAGCTGGTGGGGAGGAAAAATACCCAACAACTTGTTAACAATTAGCAATCTGAGTGCTTTTTAAAAAATAAGTCCTAAGACCTGTAAACAAGAGGGAAGTATTTTGCTGAGAAATCATCAAAACAACACTACTCTGAGCATCCCTTCTGCCCCAAAGCTCAAAACGGTTGATGAATGTTGTGAAATTACTTATTACTTTCCCACATGGGAGTCAGGGCAGACAGTATTGTCCCTAATTTACAGAGCAGGGAGACAAAGTCATAGCAAAGCTTCTGCTTTCCTTTATTTCACTCTGGAAGGAATAAGTGGACTAGCTAGAAATCCCCTAACGAGTATGACTTTTTATTTCTCAAAGACCTTTTTGATAAATCCTGCAAGTGAAAGGGAAAACAGGAAGAATCTATAATCTTCTTTGCTCATAGTTGCATAAAGAAATGCTGGGGGTGGGCAGTGGCCCACACCTGTAATCCCAGCACTTTGGGAGGCTAAGGTGGGCAGATCACTTGAGGGCAGGAGTTCAAGACCAGCCGGGTCAACATGGTGAAACCACATCTCCACTAAAAATACAAAAATTAGCCAGGCGTGGTGGTGCACGCCTATAATCCCAGCTATTCGGGAGGCTGAGACATGAACCTGGGAGGCAGAGGTTGCAGTGAGCTGAAATTGCACCACTGCACTCCAGCCTGGGCAATACAGCAAGACTCAGTCTCAAAAAAAAAAAAAAAAGAAAAAAGAAATGCCAGAAGGTGATCCTTTTATAGTTCATAAGCGTAATGACTGGGTGTTCATCTGCGTGTCTGAGATGTGCCACCCTCAAACCTTGTTTCGATGTTGGCATGCTACCCATCTGACATGAAAGGGAAAAAAGGAAATGCTGGAATGATACCCAAGAAACTAATGAAGAATGGTTTCTTGTGGCAGGGATGGGGACAACAGGGTGGATGAGCACAGAGGGAAGAGCAAACCTGTGTGTAACCCTTCCTATCATTTTGTTCTTTGAACCATGAGCATGTTACCTATTAAATAATAAAATGAAGTGCAAATATATTCTATAGGAAAATGAAACAAGCAATGGAGACCCACTTTTCCTCCTGAATAGGCTGTGTTTGCAGAGAATCCAGTACACACACTCCTCTAACATTGTCTAAAGATGAACTATGGAGAGGGGGCCTGATAGCGCTACTGCACCTACAGAACAAGGGGAGACCAGACACTCAAAGGGCTCTTCTCAGGGGTACCCTGAATGTCATGGGCAGAATCAGCACCACATTTTCCAAACCCTTGCCCCTCTGACCACGGCTGATGTTGAGCCCCCTCTGAAATGGTAGATACCTTACACTCACATTTAACAAGGGTAAGGGACAAGTCAGTGAGTTTGTTTCTTTTTCTTTCTTTCTTTCTTTTCTTTCTTTTCTTTCTTTCTTTCTTTCTTTCTTTCTTTCTTTCTTTCTCTCTTTCTCTCTTTCTCTCTTTCTCTCTTTCTCTCTTTTCTTTCTTTTCTCTCTTTCTCTCTTTCTCTCTTTCTCTCTTTTCTTTCTTTCTTTCTTTCTATCTTTCTTTCTTTCTTTCTTCTTTTGGTTTATGATGCTATGCTCATCACAGCAATCAGAGTACTTTATTAAAATACAAATTTGAGGCCGGGTGCAGTGGTGCACACCCGTAATCCCAGTACTTTGGGAGGCCGAGGCGGGTGGATCACCTGAGGTCAGGAGTTCGAGATCAGCCTGGCCAACATGGTGAAACCCTGTCTCTACTAAAAATACAAAAATGAGCAGGATGTGGTGGCGGGTGCCTGTAATCCCAGCTACTAGGGAGGCTGAGACAGGAGAACTGCTTGAACCCGGGAGGCGGAGACTGCAACAAGCTGAGATGGTGCCACTGCACTCCACCCTGGGTGAGAGTGAGACTCTGTCTCAAAAAGTAAATAAATAAATGAAATAAATACAAATTTGAGCCCGTTCTTCAAACACTCCCAGTGAGTCCCAAGTGCCTTTCCTCCAGGCAAAGTCCGCATCCCTTGGCATGGTGCTTATGATTCTTAGGATCTTCGGATGGCGCTTACTGGACTCTCCACTTCACCTCCCACTTCCTTTTCATGAAGCACATTCTCCACTTTCTGTAATTTCCTGCACATGCTGGAGTTGTCATGCCTCTGTGGCCCTGTGTGTGCTGTTGCCTCTCTCTGGAATGCATTTCCCTTTCCCCCATCTGGTGAATTGCTAATGACACTTTAAGATCAAATGCTACTACCTCCTCTAAGAAGCCAGCTCAGGCCTGGCCCAGCCCATCCATGGCACACAGCTGGCCTCTCCTCTCTGTCCCCACAGCCCCTCTGAGTGTTCCTCTATTACAGCATTTCCCATGTCACATAGCAACTTTACACAGAAACGGTCTGTTTCCAAGCCCGTCTCCAAGTAAACTGTCACCTCCCGCAAGGTGGGCCCCTGGTGGTTGCCTCTATGCCACAGTGGTGGACCCAAAACATGATGTTTGTCAGACAACAGTGAAGCTAGCACTTATGCCGCTCCTTCTAGGTGCCTGCCCCACTTCTAAGCACTCCACACATAATAGTTCATCTGCTTCTCTCCAAAACCTGAAGAAGTAGGTTCTAGTGTCATGATGATCTTAAAGGTGAGTACACCGAGGCACGGTGACACCAATTACAAAGTAGTAAGTGGCAAAGCCAGATCTGGAATCCAGGAAGTCTGCCTCCAGAGCTCAGGCTCTTAACTACTATGTAGTAATATCTACCAAGAGACGAATGAATGAAATAACCAGAAACCAAACTCCCATTCCTAAGACAAAGGTCCTCCAGGTTCCAATTTCTAAACGCCGAAGAAGAGCTGCCACACTGGGAATCTGGGCTGAGGGGATCACCCACCAAAGTCCATGTAAGCATTCCAACCCGAGGAGCTCCCAGTGACACAGAACCAGCTAGGACAAAAGAGCCCTGCTCTCAAGCTCCTTCTACAGGCTGACATCCTCTCATCCAGAAGCACCAGAAAATCCACCAAAGTTTCCCATAGTCACCCCGAGGGCCACCCCGCCTTCTTCCTATTATAATGGAACTTGAGATTTTTGAGGTGTTTTTTTTTTGTTTGTTTTTGTTTTTGTTTTTGTTTTTTTTTTGGTACCCCGGGTGGGACTCGAACCCACAATCCCTGGCTTAGGATTTTTGAGGTTTCTTCATGATGATCTATGTTTTTGTTTTTGTTTTTTTTTTGGTACCCCGGGTGGGACTCGAACCCACAATCCCTGGCTTAGGATTTTTGAGGTTTCTTCATGATGATCTAGCTCCAAAACACAATGCACATGGAAAGAGGAAAGGTTCACCACTAACTCCCTAAGCCAGCGGCTGGTGGTTTCTACCCTGTGCTCTTTGGAACTCTTTCTTGGAACTGGGCTGAAACATCCTTTGGATGTCCCTGCCTGCCACTGTTGCCTGATGGGCCCAGTTAAGTGACAAGGATGGATACTTTGAGACACTTGCCTGGGGCCTGCCTTTTCACTACCTTCTCCACATCTGCTTAGAGCTGCTCCCAGGGAAGAACAGATGAATCTGGCCTTTCACTGGTGAGCAAAGCAGAGTATGAGAAGAAACCAGCACCCCCCAGGCAACGGACAGATGGGAGAATGCATCTCCAAGGGAGATCACAGGGGAAATGAAATCAGGTTTGGAGACAAAGGCTTTAGGCTAGAGACTTGGCTCTACCATTCACTCACTTAGAGAGTTAGAATAAGTTCTTTACCATATCTGAGTCACATCTGCAAAGGCTTCCTCATGTGTTTTGACGAAGAAATGAAATATTGTATACAAAAGGGCTTTGTAATCTAAACAGTGGTTTCCAAGCCTGGTTAATTGTCAGAATTGACAAAGGAAATTTTTGTTGTTGTTGTTTAAATTACAGATTTCTGATCCTCAAGCCTACTGAATTAAAATCTCCAGGAGGAGCCCAGGAATCTGTATTTTCAGAAACTTTGCGGGAGCTTCTGAAGCATAACCACATTTCTAAAGCTCTGTGCAAAGGTTGGCAGTATTATAGCCCTGTGGTGAAAGAAATATCAGGTCTTAATATTATGCTTAAAGGGTAACTAGAGCTGTCAGACTTGCAAGTGAAGAATTTCTAAGGAATGTGACCTCACTATGGATATTCAGAAAAGAAGCCTGATTCTCTACCAAATTAGAGCTTAGAGACCAAGGAACTCAGGAAGGGCAGTTCTCCTTGGATATCTAGATGGTTCCGTCTGCCACTGAGCATTTTCTCAGACAAAGCACAGTCTCAAAATATCCAGAGACACACAGACATTTCCTATCTCTCTCAGTAGCTGGCAGAAGCAGAACCAGAAACTAGATGTTACAAGTTAGAAATGGACCCCTGCAACAAAAGACAAGCATCAAGTGTTTGAGGCCGTGATGCTCCAGGAGCCCTTATACTTGGGCTTCTGGAGAACACGGGAGAACCAGGCCACCTATCAGTAATTAAAAGAGGCAAATGTTTAAGTGAAAGTCTTGCAAGACCAGGAAGCAAGAGAGCATGAGGGCGGAGCTCTAGGTCCCTGAGGGCCATCCACCAAGAGCCGCTTTCAGCTGGTCACTACCCTCCCTGTGCCTCTGTCTTCATCTGGAAAATGTGAAACAACTTGTCTACTACAGGAAGCTTTGTGAGCTTCAAACAAAATAACAGATGCAAAAGGTTGCAGGGCCCTGGGAGAGGGCAAATACAATGCGATATCTTTATTCTTCAAAAGTATGATGACTAGTGCATTATACTACAGACATGAACATTCTTCAAAGAATTTAAAAGTCCGTACAACTGGTTCATCCAATAAACAATATCTTTTGTGAATGTTATTCTTTGAATCCTCAAGAAAAAGAAGCCTCCCTCTCCTAAGAGGCATCCCCAAAGAACGGAGTAACATGCTTCTAAATTTCACCCAATGGCAGTGAAATGCATTAACAGATTTGCTGATGAGCTACTAAGCTTAAGAGGTTATGTTAGGAGACTTGGGAAAGAAGGGTTAAAAGTGAGCAACCTCACTAGAGTAAAAAGGAAGGATCCTGGAAGGCTTTTGGAAACCACCAAGTAACAAATGTAGCTCCCACCTCCCACCCACGCATCACTGGAAATAACTTTAAATAATGAATCCCAGAATGTCTGCAGAACAGGCAGTCTGGATTAAGGACTTTTAAAGGGATGGTTTTGAACAAGGATTCTTTCAGGGAAACCATCTTGAGAATTACTGAACTCTCAGGCAAGCTCATTCTGACAAATATCCTTAAGTAAGCTTTGAGCTACAGCTGAAATCCTGGTATGGTAAATATCATCATATGGGAAAGCAATTTATAGCAAAAAAGATTTAGTGGTCCTCCCAGCCACTACATTTCCACTCCCACCCCCTGTAGTGTTGTGGAAGATTTGCTTACTCTAAGTGAACAGAACCCCATAAAGAGCTTGGCTGGTCATTCAGAAACTGTTGTAGAAAGTAACCTAGAGTCATTCATTCTTCTAACAAATATAAAGTGAACATCTACCATGTGTCAGACATTTTTCTTTTTTTTTTCTCTATTTGTAGTAGAGAAAGGGTTTTTCACCATGTTGATCAGGCTGGTCTCAAACTTCTGACCTCGTGATCCACCCGCCTTGGCCTCCCAAAGTGCTGGGATTACAGGCATGAGCCACTGTGCCCGGCCATATCTGACATTTTTCTAGCCTCAGATATAGTAGAGAAAAAAATATACAAAGATTTTTGATCTCATGCAGTTTATAATCTAGGGGAGGGGACAGACAATAAATAAATACATGTGCCTTATCATAAGTGTTTTGGAAAAAAACAGGCAGGGAAGGGTGGGAA